AATTATATTTATATATTTTATTAATGTTTATATTTTTTATTAAATTTTTTATTTATTTATAAAATTATATATTTTTTTAATATTCAATTTTATTTAGTATAATATTATAATATATATATATATTTTTTTTTTCAATCATCATATTTTATGAATTTTTTTTATTTTTATAGATTAAATATAATATTTAATTAAAATATAACCTTATTTATTACTATTACATTTTTTTTTAATCTTTAAGAATCAAATTTAATTTTTTTATTAATATCTAAATATTAAATAAAAGCTATTAAAATTAATTTAAATTATATATATTTATTTAATTTTTATTGAATTAATAATTAATAACTATTATTAAGTTTAAATAATGTAAAAATTTATAAAAATATTTATAATATAAATAATAAACATTATTGATTAAATTTTATAAAGGATTCATAAAAAAAAAAAAAAAACTTTATATTATAAAAAATAATAAAAAATTAATGATAAAACAAATATTAAAAAAAAATATATGTAATAATCATAAGAGATATAATTATAAAATACAAATAATATAAATATACATTTATAAATATATAAAATAACGTTTAAAGATACATTTTCAAAAATTAATTTTAAAGAATACAATATATATATAAATATATATAAATTTTATAAAATATAAATAATTATTTATATATATAAATATATATATTTATATATATATATATATATTTTTTATTATATTATCTATATTTTTTTATAAAAATATTTTTTTTATTTATTTACATTTTTTTTTTAATAATTTTTTTATATAAGTGTTTATTAGTTATATTAAATTTATAAATATTATTTAATATTTTATTACTATTAATTTTTTTTTTTTTTTATTCATATTTTAATATTTAAATATAATAATTTGATATTTATTTATTTTTAATTTGAATATATATTTTTTTTTTATATTTTATAATATTATATTCAAAATTTATTTTATTGTTTTTCTTTTATTTAGTTTCTCTATATGATATATTTATTTATTATAATTTAATTTTTATTTTATTTAATATTTAACTTAATAAATAATTATATATTATAATTATTTCTATCAAAATAAAATTATTGTTTATTTTTATATTGAAATATAATTGATATTTTATAAATAAATATATTTTAATTAATTATCTTAAACAATTCTGAAAATCTTAAATATTTTCATCACTAAATTTTCTCATTTACAAATTTTTAGATGCTTTTGCAGCTACTTTATTTCGATTTAACCTGAATTTTTTTAACTTAATAGTATTTTTCTTATAATATAAATTGACTTTAATATTTCATAGTTGTCCCTTAATTTTATTGAAATCTTTTTTAGCCTTCATAATAGACAATGCAAATCATATATGTTTTATTAGTTTCGCAAATAAAGTGTGTATGATATAGACAGTAGATTTTTAATATTTAGTAGCAAAAAAGGTAACATTAGTATATTTATAAAAAAGTAGTTTAGGGAATATAATAAATCCTTTAATGTTCTTGGCTTATAAAAAATTATATGAATTAAAATAATTTTATTATTAAGATTAAGATTAAAACCTAGATAAAAAGCAATCCTAAAAAATTTAATTTAAATGGAAAATATGAACAGACTAATAAATGAAATGTGCATATAATTAGAAGTTTTAAACGATTTTATAGAATGAAAACATCAAAAATTATATATGCCTTAGAATATACGTGTAAAAAAGACATTTGCTTTAATAGTAAAAAGGCATTATTTAATGTATTAAAAATAAAAAATAAAGCCGAGAAGATAAAGTTGTAAATAGGAAAAATTTAAAATGAATAAAAATTAGCATTTTGAATAATGAAGATTTTATAAAATTTATAAATATTTGATTTAATTTAAATTTTATAAATATTATACATATATTAATATATTTAGGTATTATAATCTTAAGATATATTTTTATATGTTTTATTTGAAAATAATAAAAATATACATATTTATTAATATGTCTGAATAAATATAAATTTTATTTTTTTTCAAATTATTTATATTTATAAATAGATATAAAATATAAGAGAATATAAAATAATTAATAAAAAAAATATTTAATATTTTATTTTTCGTAATATTATAAATTTAATAACTTAAATAAAAATTTAAAGAAAAAAATGATAAAAAAAAAAAAAAAAATATAAAAAAAAAAAAAAATTAATAAAAAAAAAGTACATAGAAAAAATATTATGAATATAATATGTATTAATTAAAAATTTTATAAAAAAAATAAAATATTAAAATATAATTATAACTAAAAATAAATTAAATAAATAATAAAAAAATTAATATATTAAGTAATATAATATATATATATATATATTTATATATATATTTATAAATATTTTTTTTTTATAAATAAATAATTTAATTTTTATTTTTTAAATAAATAATAATATTTAAGGATATTTTATTTATATTATTATAAGATAATTTGGATATAAGTTATTTGTAAAAAATTTATAAATAATAATAATTTTGAATTAAATAAAATTTGTTTTATTATGTGTAATTATAATTAAAGAAGATATTTATATAAAATGAGAAAAAAATTTAAAATTATATATAAAAAACAGAAAAAACATATAAAAGATAAAAGATATATTTTATAAAAAAAAATATTGTTTACAAAAATTAATATTTTTAAGATTATATTATTAAGATATAATTATGAAAAATAAAAATGTTTATATAAAATATTATTAATATTGTATAAAATTATATATATTTAATAATAATAATAAAAAAAAATATAATAATAAAAATGATAATAAATTAATTATTAGATAATAATAGAATGATATATTTAAAAAGATAATAATAAAAATAAAATAATTATAATAATAATAATTATAATAATAATAAAAATAATAATAATAATAATAATAATAACAATATATATATAATTATAATAATATCAATAATAATTTTTATTACAATAACAAAAATAATTATAATTATTATTTTTATTATCATAAGAGAAAAAATTAGATTTATTTTAAAAAATATTATCTAATTTAATTTAAATTTAAAATAATTTTTTTAATATATAATATAAAATTAATGTCATTGAAAAAATTTTTAATTTATATATAATAAATTTTTATTAATTTTTAAAACTATATATTATTAATTATTTATAATCAAAATATTTAATTTAATTTAAAAAAAAAATATAATTTCAGAAATTCTTTATTTAAATTCATATTTAAATATATTTAAAATTATGTTAAAATAAATAATTTTTATTTTATATTTAAATATATATTAAATTTAATTATAATTTTTTTTACATTTTTTTCGTTTAATAATTACATTATTTTTTTTATTTTCAATACAAAAATTTAAACATATAATTCATTTTTAATTAAAAAAAAATTAACATTAACAATAATTAAATAGAAAATATTAAAAATAAAAGGAAAAAAAGAAAAGAAAAGATTTAAAAATATGTTTTCATAATTTTTCAAAAGAAGTAACTAATCCAAAAAGAAAGTAGATTTAGAAGAAAAAGAGAATTACCCTTTTTTACAAGAACAAAGCACTTGCAAACAAGATTTAACATAAAAAAACAATAATTAATAATTTATACCAATTCCAAAAGGCCATGAAAAATATTCGGAAAAAGATAAAGAAAAGTGTCCTTATTTTTCAATGTAATAAAAATAAGAATAATCTTCCACAAACGAAAAAGATCCTTAAAAAAAGAAAGAAAAGAAACCAAAAGGAGGTTGTCCATTTATGCCTTCAGAAAGAAAAAAAAATCCTTCCTTGAATTCTTGCGAAGAAGGATGGAATGAAGAATATGTATCTCCTTAGTCTTATTTAATAGATTATAGAGGTTTTTTATCTTTTTCATTTGATTAACTAGAAAAACCTGATTTCGTAATTACATTTTTTTTGTTAAATTTAAAAAAAATAAAAAAAAAATTTAAAAAGTTTTAAAATATTTAAAAAAAAAAAAAAATTTTGATTAAAAATAATTTTTTAGAATTTAAAAGAAAAAAGAAAAATTTTTGATACTTTTCCTGTTTATTTGAAACACACATTATTTATGAAAGATGAAAACATGAAAAAAGTTCGAGAATTAGAAGTCGCATAAAGATTTTTTGTTTACGACAAGTTAAGAGAAAAAGGAAACAAAGAATTCAATAAAGGAAATGCGGAAGAATCAATAAAATATTATGAATAAGCATTAAGTTGCTTTAAATGGCTTGAACATGTTGAAAAAGAAGAAGATGAACAAGAAGAAGAAATAAAATTCGAATTATCAGAAGAAGAACGTAAAGCTGAACAAGAAAGAGACGACGAAATACGAAAAGATCCTTTTTTTAAAAACTTACCACGAGAAACTGAATAGGAAAGAATCGAAAGATTAAAATTATTATAATAGATAAGATAAGAAAAAAAAGAATTCAGGAAAAAATATAAAGGATTAGTAATAATTATAATTTTTAAAATAAAACAAAAAATTAAATTAAATTTGTAATATATATATAAAAGATGACTACATATACAGATGATAATGTAATTCTTAAAGATGGGGAAGAACTTACAGATAGCCAAGATATTGAAATGAGATAAAGTATGCTTATGACTATTTATATGAGTTTGGCTGTAGCCTATATGAAATGCTTTTATTTTAAAATGGCTTAAGTAGCTTTAGATGATGCACTTAAAATTACTTAGAAAAGTTCTTAGATTTATTTCAGGAAATCTTAATGTGTGGCTTATAATAAATTTAGTGATTTAAAAGAACTAGAGTAGGCTAAAAAAGATATTGAATAGGCTATTGAAATGAAACAATATGAGAAAATATTTTAATAAGAATAAGGAATTTTAAGAATTATGAATTTATTAGACCATAACGAATGTTATATTAATTTAGTATTTTTTTAAAATTATTAATATTAATTATATTAATATATAATAAATTAGGCACATTATGTAGTTAAAAGAATTAAAGAAAGAACAGAATATGAAACTGAACTTATATCGAAATTATTTTAAAGGGAAAAACATATAGAAGAAGTTGAATAATAATTAATTGATGAAGGTTTTTTTTTTATTTATTTAAGCGAAAAAAAAAAAAAAAAAAGGAAAAACCCCATATGAAGAAGGAGAAGAAACATTATCATAAGCAAATATAATTCCAATAAATGAAGAACATTAAGAATATGAAATAATATTAGAAATGATGAGAAAATATTATCGTGTAATTGAATTTTATACAGAAACAAAGAAACCTGATTAGGTAAGAATTGCAAAGAAAGAACTTTAATAATTATCTGAGACTGTCTGTGTAATGAATTATTTATTAAAATTGAACTTTAAAAATTATAAAGAAAATTCTTTGATGATAAAATTGAAGAAAGAATATGATATTGATTTAGAAAATGAGAAAATTCTGAGAAGATTAGAAAGATTGAAAAAAAATAAAGCCAAGAGTATTTTCGAAAATGGAAATTATAACTTCGAAGTGTTTTAATATGCTATAAAAGATTATTTCAAGAAAAAAGAAGAAAAAGAAAAAAAAGAAAAGGAAGAAAAAGAAGCAGAAGAAAATGAAAATAATTAAGAAAATTTAACTGTTAAATAGACTGGATTTAGAAAAGTCATTTCAAATATTTTTAGTTGTGAATTTATTTTATAAGCAACACTTGTAGGAATGATTTTTGGATTCTTTTATTATATGACTACTAAAGATAATATGATTTCAATGTTCATTTTTGATTAAATGAAATGATTTATAATTGTTGTTTTTTTTACTTTGTTTAATTTTATAAATATAATTATTATATGATTATATGAAATTTATATATTATTATTATATTTGATATTATAATATAAATTTTTTCTTTTATTTTTTTATAATTTATAATAAAATATTGTAATTTCTTTTTTTTTGATTAAATTAAATTTAATAAAATTATTTTTTTAAATATTTTAATAATATATATATTATTAAGTATTTTTAAATTTTTTTTTTTATATATATAGTTTTTTTAAATATTTCTATATTTTTTTTCTTTTTTTTTCTTTTTTAAATGTTCAATTAATCAAATTGTTTTTATTAAAAAAAAATATAATAAATATATGTATATATATTAAAGTTAAACAAATATAGTCTTCTTTAACTACAACAAAATATTGGATTAAATTATAAACTATATTGTACAATTATTTATATTATTAATTAGTTTTTCATTATAGTTATAATAGATATATATATAACATTTTATAATAACTTTTTTTTTTTTTATAAAAAATCCTTATTTAAATATACATATTTATTATTTCTATTTTTATCAATTTCATATTCTTAATTTATTAGAAATTTTATTTGTCGAAAATTAGTATTATTCTTCTGCAATAGTTAAAATTATATTTTACCTATTTATAATATCATTATTGTATTTATTATTTGATCTAATAATTTTAAATGCATCTCCTATTGATTTATTAAAATTAATTAGATTATAAAATAATAAACCTATTGATTCTTAGAATTTCCAATTTTTATAATGAGAATTTTAATTATCATCATCATCTTCTATAACATTCTTTTTTTTTTTTTTTACATTTTTTATTTTAATTAAATTATAATTTTACTTCTTCTTAAATTGAATAAATGTCATTTTTCTTTTTATTTATTTCACTTTAGTTATCCTTTTCAAAAATTTGGATTTTTTAAAAATTTTCTTTGTTTTCATTATCCATTTTAATAATGATTAAATTATTTTTAATATTATTATTTATTTATACATTCTGTATATTTTATTATTTCTATGATTTATTTTCTAATAAAATAGCTAATGACTATTCTGATTCTTTTTTTAAATTTAAATCTATAAAATTCGTAGATGATTAATTTTCAATTTAATTATTTTAAGAAGTTTTTTATTATTATTATTATTATTATTATTAATACTAATTGTTATTATAAATATTAACTATATTTTCTTTTTTTTCTTAATTTTTTGTTATATCATGGTCTTTCATTAAAACATCATTTTTTTATAAAAACTTTTAATTATTCTTTTAAACTTAGTGTTTTGTAAGCTTAGTTTATACACATGCTCCCATTTTAAATATTTATGAATATTGTTTTTTTTGTTTAATTTTTTAAAAATATAAATTAACAGAATTTTTTCAAATAATCAAAATAAAAAAATTTATTTATTTAATTATATAACTAATTATATAACTAATTATTAAATTAAATAAATTAAATATTAATAAAAAATTTATATTTATTAAAATATATAATTAATTTATATTATTAAAAATAATATAATAAAAATAATACTTTAATATTTATAATTTAATATATATTAAACTTTAAAAAAATTAAAATTTAAAATAATTTTTAGAAAGTAATATATTATTTATATAGAAGAAAAAAATTATTAAATATAAAATATAATATCTAATAATAAGATATTTATAATAAAAAAAAGTAAAAATATATAATATATTTCTAAAATTAGAAAATAATAATAATAAAAAATAATTATAATTAATATATATCCATATATCATCATAAAAATAAATATTAAATATCTTATTAATATTAAATAAAAAATTTTTTATAATAGTTATTTATATAAAAATAAAATAAATATTAAAAGTATAGAAATATAAGATATATTATATATTATAACAAATATTAATTAAAAAATATAAATATTTGAAATAATAATAATATCAAAAATATCAAAAATATAATTATTAATAAATAATTATATATATTATTAATATTAATATTATTTTATATATCTAAATAATACATATTTCTAAATATTAAAATATAATAGATAAAATGTTTTATAAATATATAAATATTATAAAAATTATAATATTTAGATATTATTATTATTATTATTTTATAAGAAATATTTAAATAAAAATATAAATATAAAAAATATTTTTATCCTTATTATTATTATTATTATTATTATTATAATTATATTATTATCTTTATTATTAATATTATTATTATTAAGATTTTTTACATGAATCCTTTATTTATTTTTATTGTTTTTTTTTTTTTTTTTTAATATTTTTTTTCTTTCATATATATATAAAATTAAATATATATTTTTTATCATCTTTTAATAATTTTTTTTATTTTTTATTTTTTAAATTAAAATCTTTTTTTCAGGCATTTTTTAATTTTGTTATAAATATAAAATATTAAATAGTTTTATATATTTATTTTTATATTTTGAAATTTTTTATTCAATATTTATATTCAAATTTATATTTTTTAATCTTCTTTTTTATTTATATAAATAATATTAAATAAATATTTTACAATTAGATAAATTTAAATAATAATTTATGATTATTTTTATTATTAATATTTTTAATAATGTATATAAATATATCATATCATTAAAAAAATTATTTTATATATTAATTATAATATATAAAGATTTATTATAAAAACAAAAAAAATAAAAATATTATTTAATATATAATATAATTATATTATAAAAATAAATAATTAAAATAATATCAAGCTCTTTTATATTTAGCCTCTACAAAAGGCATTTTAACAATTTAAATAGGATAATCTTTTCCTTTTTAATTTACAATTAATTCTTAACCAACCTTAAATAATAATAATAAAAAATTAATGAATAAAAAATAAAATATAAAAAAATATATATAATAATAATAAAAAAAAAAAAATTATCGTAACAAAGAAAATAAAAAAAAAGATTACACTAGATAAGCTAGTAGAAACATACATCATACCAATTCCTTTTTTTAACATAGGTGAATAAGTACCACTACAAACATATCCAACTTTATTTTTATTTTAATCAAAAACATCACAAACAGGTCTCAAAATGCCTGATCCTTTGATTAAAAATCCTACTCTTTTTTATTTAACACCTTCCTTTATTTTATTTTTTAAGCATATATATTATTTAAAAAAATAAAAAAATATTAAACTTTTCTTTATTTAGCTAAAACATCGTTTCCTAAGAAACATTATTTTTCTTCTTTGGATTATTTTCTAACAGTCCACAATAAAGTAGCTTCTGCTGGAGTAATTTAATCATTCATATCATGCCCATGTAAACATAAACCAGCTTCAAGTCTAAGCGAATCTCTCGCACCAAGCCCAGCAGGTTTAATAAGAGGATTTTATAGTAATAAATCAGTTAATTAAACTATTTTATCGTTTTCAATACTTAATTCAAATCCATCTTCTCCTGTATAACCACATCTACAAGCTAGAACTTCTAGTCCATTTTTTAATTATATTTTTTGGTGTTACATAAATAATATTTTTGATAAATCTACGTTAGTTAATTGTTGAAAAACTTCTTCAGTTTTAGGACCTTTTTTATTTTATTTTTTAAAAAAACATTTTATATAGTTACCTTATATTGCTATAAGAGATTTTTAATCTTCATATTATATTTTAATATCGGCTTTAGGAAAATATTATTCCTTTAATTTTTACATATGTTCTAAGTCTATAAATTTATTAGCTCCGTTAACTACCATATGTCTATTTTTTATTATTTTATTTTATTTAAGAAAAAAAAACTATAAAAATACATATGATTTTCAAATTTCGTCACTATTGTATCGTCAATTATACCTGCTTTTTCATTCAAAATTAAACTAAGAAATCCTTCTTATTCTTTTTTGCCTAATTTATTTTTATTATAAATATATATTAATTGTATATTTATATTGCCTCTAATATCCCCAACGACTAATTTTTCTATAAAATCAACTGAATCTTTACCATATATTCTTTTTTTTTATTATTAAAACATATATATTTATTAATATACTTAATTTAACCCATATGAGATACATCAAATAATGAACTACTTTATCTTGTATGTAAATGTTCTTTTAAAACGCCTTCTGGATATTATACAGGCATTTCGTATCCTTTTTTTTATTTTATATAAAAATACAATTATTTATTTTTTAATTTAAACCTGCAAATTCTACCATTTTTCCATTTAATTTTGTTTTGTGATATTCATTTAATGATGTTTTGAGAAGTTAGATTTAAGAAAAATATAGTCTATTAACTTTTGTTAAGGAATTAAATATATTATTCATTTTACTTTAAAATTATATTTTTTTTAATATGTAAATCTTAAGTTAATTATAAAAAAAATAGATATTTAATTATTTTTTTTAACATTTATTTCATAAAATTTATCTTTTATATTTAAACATGTTTTTTTTAAAAAGATATATAAATTTAAATATGTCATATCTTTAAAAAAAAAAATTATCTAATTTTTATTAAATAAAAAAAAATAAAAAATTAACTCAATCCTCTTTTTATTATTACTATTATTCTTATTTTTAAATTAAAGGTATATCTTCTTAGATATTAAGATGTGCAAATTCAGCTAATCGAGGTAAGATTTTCATACAGATATTAGGTATATGGTACTTATTATAAGTTCGTGTACATTCATTATCTTCTACCTGAAGTTTTTAAAAATCCTATATAATTTTTACTTTCTAAAATTCTTTAACACCCAAACATTAAAGTAATTTTTCCATTATAATCTAAATCAATTAATTATTAATTGAAATGAAATGGATTTAGGTACTGTTTTATTAAACATCTAAATCATTTTTAACAAATAAATGTCTATATTCATCAAAGTTTTCATAAGGATTACCTGCGTTTTTAATTTTCTGAACCATAACCTCAAAATCAATAAAGTAACAAAAAAAAGCGAAAGTTTCGTAAATATTCAAATAGTTTTTATTCTAAATATTACCTAAATATTAAATAAAAACTTATTTTTCATTCGATAAAATATCAAAATAAAACATTTTATTTAAATAAAAATCTAGATTTGACTCGAAAATATTTAAATTTTTTTATTATAAAAACTATTAATATAATTCCATTTATCTTTACTAATTATTAAAGTCTTCTATAAGTGCATATTTCATTAGGTTTTTATTCATTTCCGTCCCATAAAAAAAAACTTTATCCACAGCTATATAATACCAATTATCAAAAAACTAAGTGGTAATTTATTCAACAAAAATAATCTTCAAAAATCTGACAAAAATATACTTAGAAAGTACAAATTCTATCTCGAAATTTTATTATTTACTCTTTTCAATATCCAAATCAAATTCTTGTTAAAAGTTTAAATTATTTATATGTATACCGGCCTAAATAATAACTTTTTTAGAATAATAATATAAATTACTCGTTTATTAAATATTAGAAGCATCATAAAATTTTATCTTTAATTTTTTCACAAAACAACATTCTTAATTTTTCATACTATATAACAAATATTCATCCCTATCTAAAGGACCTGGATTTCCTAAAGAACTCCAAAAATACTATCCATATTGAGTATTTTAAATTGTATTTTCAATAGACTAATCATGGTCTGTAGTAGATGATTTTATTGCTTCAAGTTTTAATTGATTAAGGTTTTTTAAACTTTAGTTTAAATTTTAATAAAATAAATGATAATTTTATATGTTTATGTTTTGGACTTTAAAATTAATAATTTTAGTGTAATATTCATAAAATTAGTTTGTTTTTATCATTTATTCAAATTATTTGCATGTTTTAGATAGTTAAAGTATATCTTAAAAATTTAAAAAACATGAAATATTTAATTTTATGTAGTATGGAAGTTAAACTATATCATATATTTAATTCATTTTTTTTATATATATTATATTTTTTATTTTATAAATTATATAATAATTTAAATTATTTTTTTATTGATTTATTAAAAGAAAACTTTTTTTTAATTTTCTATATTATATAAAGAGGAATTTTAATTATTAATTTTTTTTATATGATTTGCTATAAAAAATTAAATAAACTATTTATAAATATAAAACTATATTTATGAATTATTAATATTTTTTATTAAAATTCATTTGATCATTCCATTCGGAATTGGAATATTTAAATTTATTTTTTATAATAAAGTTAATAAAATAAATTATGAAAAAAAAAAAAAACTAAAAACATGTATTATATTTAATAAAATAAAAAAATTAACTTTTTTATTAATTTATAATAATTTACAAATATTCCAAATTAAAATAAAATAAAAAATTAATATTATTAAATGAATACAAAATATATATTTTAATAAAATCAAAATCAAAAAACAATCACTAATTTTAATTTTCCTTAAAAACTAACATAACTTGAATAATTCTTATAGAAATTATTTAATATAATGGATTTTAAATTTGATTTAAATATAAAATTTGCAAAGATAAATTAAATAATAAAGAATAATTATTAACTTCTTTTAATTTAAAACGAAATAAAATCCATAAAACCAGACAAAATATTCATAATACTATAAAACATCCTCGAAAAATCTGAAAAAGATAAAAATAATTTAATAACTCTCTTATCTCCATCAAAAAAAAATGAAAATATCAAAAATAAAAAATAAAAAACCTGCCTAAAATGCCAAAACTGCTAATAAACCATTAAAAATGTTGCTTTTACATGCCTAATATGTCATAACTATATATTATGTACTGATTGTAAGTTTTACATTATAAAAAATCACTTTCACCCTTTTATAAAATATTATCTTGAAGAGAAATATATTGAGAATTCGACTTATTTTAACAATTAAAGTATTACTTTAAAAAAAATATTCGAAAAAATAGAAATCATACGTATTTAAAAAGGAATATAATTCGATATATAAATGATTGTATAAAATACTGAAAATAACTAATTTGGAAATAATTTGTATGTTTTTTGCACAAAGGGACCTTTTTAAGGACATAAATAAATAATTAATCCTAATTTTAAAGACTAAGAATAGATTATTACTTTTTAATTTATTGCTCCCAGTATTATTTGTAATTTTTAAATTGAGTTTTGTATTGTTAATGAAGGTATTGTTTATGATAAATAATTTATTAATTTTCTTGTTTGTGTTGAATGAATTTTTTTTTTTGTAATTTTTTTTTTTTTATATGAATTTAACTTTATTTAAATTTAAATGATTTTTTTTTTATTATTTTTTTTTTTTTTTTAAGTATAAACAATTAATAACATATATATTTTTTAAATTTTTTTTTTTTTTTTTTGTATTCATAAACATTAAAGCAATATTAAAAAAAAAATAAAAAATATGGAATATTAAAATGGAGAATTATAGGTAAATAAAAAAAAACTAACAAACAAATATTAACCATTTAAATAAAAATAATTAAATAAAAATGAATTTTTTAATTAAAAAAATATTCAAAAAATCTATAATTTAGAATAAAAAATAAAATACATTAAAAAAAAAATAAAAAAAATCCATTAAAAATAAATAAAAATATATATATATGTATAAATATAAAATAAAAAAGGAATTAAATTGTATATTCTGCTCGAAATGTAAAAAACCGAAAACATTTAATTAAATGATTGGCCATGCTTTATATTCAAAATACAGTGCTTCATAAAATTATTATTTTACAAAAGATGTAAACGATATTCTTACAAATTAACGAACAACAACGCATATTAAAATAAAAGACTTATAAGTATATGATGAAGATGAATAATATTTAAAGCGAATATATAAAATATATGAATATCCAAACAAAATAGAAATGCTAACAGAATATTATAAATACCATAAAGATGTAGCTAGAATATTTACAATTCCTGCTAGTAAATCCTTAAATAAATATCATGATAAGAAACGAAAATCGGAGTATATTCGTATAAAAAAACAATTAGACCCTAAATTTGTATATGAAGATGATAAAAATATGCAAAAAGAAACTTCTGTACATGAGAGATTGTTAGCTCCTTTAGATTCTGTTACAGTTTAGAGTGGAACTATATAAGAAATTAATGAAAAATTGCAAGAAATTATTAATTCAGTTAATTATTCTTTTCTAACTGAAGTTTAAAATAATAATAGTTTAGGTGGAAATTTAAACTAATTTTTAAATTTTTTATAGAAAACTGATGAATAATAATAAAATGAGTATTATATCTAATAATACTTAAAAAAAAACTAAAAAAACACAATATAAAATTACAAAATATAAGAAAATAATCCAAATAAATAAAATGAAATTAAAAAACAATAAGAAATAATAGAACACATAAAAAAATAAAAAATGTTAATTTAAAAATAATAAATTTAAATTTTCAGAAAGGTTCAATCAGAATAATAATATATAAAGGAAGAAAAAATTAATTATAATAATAATATAAGAAAAAAAGATATTGTATTAGAATAATAAAATCAATTTTAAAATAGTTCAAATATAAAAAAATAAAGATAACATTCCTAATAAAATACCATAAATTCAAATAGTAATATAACTAATATAAATTCGTAAAACAAAATTAATAATACAGATAGACAATATAATTATACACAAAAAACATTTAATAATAGTAAAAATAATAAAAAATTATTACTAACAGAATAAAAAGATGTATTTAATAGTATATTCTAATTAATAAAAGATAATATGAAAAAAACTAATAATAAAATATATTAATAATAATAATAATAATAATAAAAATAATAATAATAATAATAATTTTAAAAATCATAATAATTTATTAAAAACAAAATATTAACATGCTTATAATCATTTATAATAATAACAAAATTCTAAAAATTCTCTTCCCTAAACTCGTTAAAACAGTATTTATAAAAGCCATGTAAGGACTTAATCTCGTTTATTAACTTAATAACCATAAATATGTGTAATGAATACTAAAAAAAATACAGGAACTCTATTCGATCTGAGTCAATTGAAAAACGAGAATAACAATTAAAACATGATACTTACAAATTAAAAATTGAGTGCTACTTATAAATATTATTAATAAAATAGTAGCGATAAATCTCCTGATTAAAGAATTGTAAATAAAAAAGATAATTAATAATCATTAACTGAAAGATTATAATTTTAAAATAAAATTAATAGAGAAAATAAAAGCAATTAAAGTGCTAATCATAAAAAAAATATCAGTTAATAATAATAATATAAAAAGGATGACGTGGCAATGATTACTAATAATTCAAATGTTGATTCAAATACACATTTCCATACTCAATAAAATGCTCTATTAGAAATGATTAAATTTAATAGAATTAATTCCGTAGCGAATAATAACAATAATTAGTTTACAGAAAAAAAAATTGGTTTTCATAAATAAACAAAGTCGGAAATTACCTGTGGGCTTTTTTATGAAAAAAATATAGCAAATATAGGAGAAAAAGGAAAATAAAAAAGTAAAATGACATATTCACCGTGTATTAATAATAATAATAATAAATTAAACCGAAATAAAAAAGTAATTCATAAGAAAGATGTTTTAAGCGATATTTATTTAAAATCTTAATATTGATACAATTAATCACATTTTTTTATTTACAAATATTTAGTTTTTTTATATATATATATATATATATATATTTACGTATAATCATATTTTTGTAATAATTTATTATTTGGATTCCAGTTTTTTGTAGATTATATTAACAGTAAAAAAAAAAATATATAATTGTACATAATTTGTTTTTATTAAATATCAAATTATAAAAAATAAGTTATATATTAATTTATAATTAATAAAAATATTTTATATTTCTCTTTTATTTAATTTATTAAAAAAATAATTTATACTTTTTTCAAATATCTCTTTTTTTATAATATTAAAATAATATTAAAATATAATTATAATAAATTACATTATTTAAGAAATTTTTCCTTCATTCTCAATAATCTCATTATATTTTTCAATTTCATCTAGTCTATCAAGCAATTCTATAGGAGGAAAAGGTAAAACTTCTACAGCATACTTAGATTAATAAGGTAAATGTATATCAATAATAGACATTTAGTCCGATTAATAAATATTATCAATACAATTTCTTTTATCTAAATCAAAAATATCACTTCTCCAAAGGTTTTTATACTAATAACTATATTAAAGAAAAACTTAGGAAGAAAGAGTAGTAGTATCATCTATTATTTAGCAAATTTCATCCGTAAAATAATTAGATTTTATTATTTCACTTAAATAACCATATATATGAGATTTAATATAAGGATTTTCATCTTAAACAGTTTCCAAGTATCTAGTAAATAAGGGAAGACAATATTCAACATTTAATTATATTGTTTTTTCGTCATTTTCTCCATCTTTATCTTTAAATAATTTTATTAATAAATTTATTACAATTATTTCTTCAACTATAAAAAAATAAAATAATTAAAATTTTATTAATTATACTTTGTGGATATCCTTAATATTCTATTGAATATTCAAATGCTTAAGATAATGATTGACTAATATAATAATAAAAATTTGATTTTATTAAAATTTTTTTTATAAAAGGTTGCTCTTTATTAAGTAAAATATTTAATTTAAAGTAAATCTTATATCGGAGTGAGTTTACGATTATTAAGTATATACAATAAGGAACATATAGTTTCTATATGCTTTTCTTATATAACTTGTTTGTTTTTTATAATAATTTATTCTATTATTAATAAAGTACCTTTTTAATAAATATATGTATATATATATATATATATATATATATATATAAATATTTATGTATTTATTTATCATTTTATATTAAATAAAATTTTATTTTATATATATATATTATTGTTTACAATTATATAATTATAAATATTTCGTTTTTACATATTATTAATAAAATTATATAAATAATATGTATATTTTTTAAATAAAAATAATAATATTTTTATTTAATTAAATTAATACTTGTTAAAATAGTAGTATATGATATAGAAATTCTATCTAATTTTTCTAAAAAATCATCTCTTTCTTCTTCATCGTCATCTAATTTGATTAGCTATAATTATTATTATTACTATTATTACTATTATTATTATTATTATTATTATTATTATTATTATTATTATTATTATTATTACTATTCATTTATATCATACTATTTAAGAAGTTCTGTATATTAACTTTAATACTTTATACACATATTAAGTATATTCTCTAATACTTCTTAAATATTTTATATAAGTAAAATACTAGGAAATTGATTAAATAGTCTTAAAAGAATACCAGAACATTATAATTCATTCTAAAGTTCTGGATATTATGTTTAATGTAAATCTTTAATATCTTTTTTTTAAGATTTTATTTATTATTCAAGGACCATTAATATTTCTATTCTCATAATACTTGTCCAGAATAAATCCGGAAGTAAAACATTTTAAGATTAAATTATTTCTAAAATCTCAATATATGATTTGTTTGAATAAAACCATTTTTGTAAAAGATGGTAAGGTAAAATTGAATTAATATATTATAAAAAATATTAATTTTCGAGTGAAATTTCGTTTATAATTTATAAAGATTATATTCTAATATTTATTTTTATTTAATCCATTTTAAATACTATATAAAATAATAAAGAAATGAACTTTTTTTATATTAATATTTAAATATTGTGAGATTATCTTAATAATTTTTATATCAATATTAATTCCTTTTGAATTTTTAAGAAATTAATAAATAATAAATAAATATAATTGTAATACTTATGTAACCAATTAATTCTCTAATGAACAAACATTAACTAAATCTAAATAAATACAGTTAAGTAAAATATCAGAATCACAAATAATATCTGATCCTTAAACAGTACTTGATATTTCAATAAAAATACTAAGTAAACATTTTTTATATCTTTAAATATTAACTTAATATTTATTTTCTAACTATGTTTAAAAAATAAATTATATATATATATATATATATATATTTTTATTTATATATATTATTATATATATATATTTTTATATTATACATTTAAAATATCTACAACAATATTAAAATACTCCTATTCATAAAATAAATTAATTAATGGATATTTTTAAATCATTTTAAGTACTGTTTTTAAATATAACTTTACTGCTTTTTAATTATTGTAAATAAATTAATTTGCTTTAAGTACATCATACTAAAGAGTCAGATTTATTTCTTTAATAATTCTTATTATTTATTAAATATTACTTTTTAGCTAATTAATTACTTCTTTTAAAAATACTCCTGGATTATTAATATCGAAATTTTCACTTTATACAAAAAGCCTTAAATATATCCCTTAAATTTATACTTCTTTATCATCCATAAAATCGTTATTATTTAATTCCTCACCCATCTATATATTATTATCTATAAGTTTATTCAAGAAAATTTTACCCATAGAAGCATTTATAGTTATTATTTATAATTTCAGAATATTTTCAAGCTTTTCCTTTGACAATTGGTTCCAAATAAAGTCCGGATATTCACAATTTGAATTAATTTTACTTACAAAAGTGTCTATTTATAGATTATTTTAGTACAAATATTACAAGAAATAATCACTAACATTGGCTTACATAACATTTATAAATTATTTATTAAAAAAAAGTAATTTATCATCAGTATTTATAGCTACATTAGTAGAATTGGTATATACATTAGCAATTATACCTGCTGCCTTTTTAGAAATATCATCTAGATTTTATACATTTCTGTTTTTTTAGGAATCTTAAAGTAAATGAAAATTTTTTCCTTTAACTAAAATAATTTCTAGACTTCTCCAAATAATCCCTGCACGAATAAGGCTTTCCAAAAAAGAGAAACTAGCTGAAAGTGAATAAATAAAATCAAATACTAAATTATTAAAAATTCTACATAAATCAAATATTTTTTCCTCTTCTTCCTCCTAATTTTCTTCTTGTTCTTGTTTTTCTTTTTATATAAAACTAAATCGGAATAATTTTTCTAATAAAGAACTTGTTTTATTTTATTCTTTTTCTTTCAAATCTTATTTTTCAGGAATTTACAGTATGTTTCCACTAAACTGTTATTAATTTTATATTTATACATTTTAAACAGTTTTCTCTAGAAATAAATTATAATAAATTAGTGTAATTTTGCTTATTTTCTAAATTAAAATACATAAATCGTTTTTTTATTATTAACATAACCCTAATAAAGCTTCTGGTTATGTATTTTATATTTTTAATATACACTATAACAGATATATGAGTATTTTTAATTCTGAAACTGATATTTTAGTATCTTCGAAGTATTATTTTATATCTTTTTTATTAATATTTTTAACTTGGGTTAGGAGATGTATATTACTCATGATATAAAAGATACATTTAATGCCTTTTTTTAAACGAAATTTCGAGTATTTTCCTTATTTACCTCATTTAGGGAAAAGTATATTATTTTAGAAATTTTTTATATATATTAAGTGTATGTTTATTATGTACTGTCTTATATTTATTAAGAAAAGGAATTATTTAGAAATTGTTTTAAACATAAATTTAATGTATTATAATTTTTATTTAATTATTATTAACTTTATAATTTAGGTGTAGTGAATAAATCAGAGTTTTTTCTAGAATGATTAGGCGAGTTTTATTTTGACCACATCTTCATTTATGTACTAATATCATTTTAATAGCTATTATCTTCCAAAGTCTACTATATTTATTATTATTCTTCTTAAATTTTATCTTTCAAAGCCTTAATACATGCATAAGCAACTGAAAAAAGATCATAATAAGGGTAAATAATACTCTCTTATAATTAAATTTTCGCGACTTTATAACATTTACATTAAGCCTTCAATAAATAGAGTAGATTTTGCATGATACTTGAGCAATATTTATTATTTTTTAATATAAAAATCTCATTTTAGAATGAATATTCCTTTATTTTAAATATAGTTTGAGAATAAAAACACTCTGGAATACCTTCTGTGGGAGGTTCAATATCTTTTTCCATAACCCAGGGTTTTAGGTATATTTAGCATGATTATATTTAATATTTTAAATCTTTATATATAATAGGTTCTGTTAGTGATATTTTTTCGAATTTGGGATATTTTTTTTTCATTTCTGTGGAAAACAAATACGTCGTAGAATTTTTTTATAAAGAAACTTCTTATGAAAAATTCTAAAGAGAAATTTTGTAATTTTATAACTCAAAATCGATCTCTTAAACTAATTAATTTCTCATATTTTCATTCCAGACTAGTGTAAAAGACTCATTATTGGCAAAATAATCAAAATGTCTATTTAAAAATACTTAAATGAGAAAAGGGGTAGGAAAAAAAGCGAAAAAAGGGAATGTTTTTATATGAATTTGCTATAAACAGGAACTTGTTCTTATTTCATTCATAATCTCTTCATTATTAGGTATTGTTAGAAAGAACAACTTCCTAATAATGTCAAAAATAGTTTTTTAAGTTTTTTAATTAATTTATTTAATCAAAAAATATACAAAACCATCCTCAAACATTATTTTTTTGCAAATTAAATATTTTTCTATTAACTTTAAATAAGAAATCTTAACAACATTACACATTGGATTATTAGAAGTATCATCCAAAAGGAGTATATTATTTAAAATGCGTTTATTTTTTTTCTTTAAACACGTTTTTTATATCTCAGTTAATGGAAAAACCTTCCTATTTCGGTGAATATTACTATTATTTTCCATACAAATAGTAATTATATATATACACATATATATAATAGATAGATTTTCCTCATAAACATGCTTACATAATTAAAGTTTTAAAGAAGTTAAATCTATTTAGTTTATTTATTTTAAATTTTCCTCTATATAGATTTTTTAAGAGATTAAATTTATTAAACTGTTTATATTTTCGGAATTATTATTATTTCCTATTAATTATTTTACATGAAATTATCTTAAAGCCGCATTTTCACACATTATAGTTTATGTAATAAGTTAAATAATTTAATACTAAGCGAATTAATATTCCTTTAAATTTAATAAATTTACATAATAAGGTATTATTGATATCCCTTTTATTTATTAATAATGTTATTTATATAAAAGAACTTAAATTCGCAAAATTAATTTAATTTTATCCCTATTTTATTCCTAAAAAGGAACTATATTCATAAATGAAGATACTAAATTTTCCCATAAATCCTTGCTATCATTAATTATGTAGTTTAATTTATAATTCTCATCTATTAGATTATTTAAATAATACCTACCAACAAGAAAAGAACTATTTTTTTTATAACAAACCTTAAAATCTTCGAAATTCCAGTATAAATTAAGCAATTTCTTATCATGATAAAGTAAATCTTCGAATATTTATAAATCCTATATACATTCTTTATTTTCAAAAAGTGGAAATTATTCATTAAAAATACTATCTTCTTCATATAAAATATTTTTTAATTCATCTAAATTACCTTTCTGCCAGCTAATTAATGGAGTTTCGTAATTTTTATGTATTGTCTTAAAAAAAAAGTGATACCATTCCTATTTTGTCCACTAATCAACATATGAAGAATCCGTTTTTTAAGCTTTAAAAAGTGCTCTTGGAAACATATTCATTACAATGAAACAACTATATATGTATATATATATATAAATATAAAATAAAAAAGAAATTAATAAATGTAAATATATGTATAAAAATTTATATATATATATAAATATTTATATATATATATATATATAAATATATATATATATATATATATATATTAGCATTTACGTAGAAGCTTTCTAATAGAGTAGATTAAATAAGAAACTAAAAGATGTTTTTTACATGAATTAATTTTTCGGGAAAATTACAGAATATACAATAAATATTAACAAAGTAGAATTATTTATAATTAGATTAAAAAAATATTTTCCTTATTAAGAATTTGTATAAATTGAATTTAATAAAGTAATTCCTTAATAATTGACTGAATTAATATTCATTCTTATAATTTTATTTAATACAATAAAAATAATACCCGATTACATTATTTTCAATATTTTAATTCTATCTTCTGCAAATTATTCGATTCTAAAATACATTGTACATTATAAAAATGTCATATAACTAAAAATATTCAAAATTTAAGTAATTTTATACATCTATGTACTTTTCAAGCAGCATATTTTGCTTAGTTTATGTGCAATTTTAATCAATAAATTCAAATTATTTCCAAAAACAAATTTTTTATTATTCTATTCCGACTTAATGACAGATGAATTATGAAAAAAAATAATTTTTTTGAAAAAAATGGAAGCCAAAAATACTAAAAGAGGATTCTAAGAAACCAATATCTTCCTAATAAACAAAAACGAGTTTATTTTTTCTTCCTTAACATTCGTATCTTCAAAAAACCGTTTCAAATTTATCAAAGTTCCCAAACACTTTAAAATTTCTTCCAAAAAAATTTATAAATTTTAAGCATTTTCAGCTTAATTTTCAACATAAAAATTTTTAACTTTATCTATGAACTTTAAAAAAAGTAAATCTAAATTAAACTATGAAATAATTATAGAATTACTATTATTATATTACTATTCATTATTTATATTTAATAAAATACTATTATTATTATCATTATTATTATTTTCATCATTATTTAATTCTTATATATAATATTCTTCCTCATCTTCATCTATTTCATCCACATTTTATTTCTCTATAGACTAAAAAATATCATTTTCAATTAGATTATTATCAATACTACTATAAATATTTTTACAACTAACGCTTTAATAATTAATATTATTATTATTATTATTATTATTATTATTATTATTATTATCATTTGATTATCATTATGATTTTAATTATGATTTTCATTATCCTTATCTTTATCATAGTTGTTACTATTTTTTTTACAATTATTTTAATTATCATTATCATAATTCTATATAACTTTATTTTAAATTTTTTTATCATTAAAATATTATTTATTATAATTGTTATCTTATTCAATTTCATTATTTTATTTTTAAAAGTATTAATATTATTATTATTATTATTATTATTATTATTATTATTATTATTTTCTTATATTCTATATTTATTATTATTTTCATTGACATTATCATTATCAATATTATTTTCATTATAATATTTAATTACATTATTATTATCATTTTCATTGTCACTATAATTATTATTATCTATATCTATATTATTATATTTATCATTAACATCATCATTTTTGATTTCATTATTATTATTTTTAGTAATATTTTAAACTCTTAATATTTAATAATTTTCTAATATTCTAAATATTCTTCCCATTTTTTACCTAATATATCCAACATATAGTCCCAAATTTTTAAATCTGCTTCCATAATAGTTTTCAGGCTACAATTTAAATTAAATTCTTTCAGAAATTAAACATCAATGTTTTAATTATTTACTGAATATTCCTGTATTTTTTTCAAAAACTCCAATTCAATTTCTTCTTAGTATTTAAGATTATTCCTCAACCCATTGATTTCTAAATAATAATCAGGTACATACGAATGTATTACATCTAAAGATTTCCTACAATATTAAAACTGAGAATAATATACACTAATATTTGTTAAAACTTCTGTCAAAAAAACATCTCTTTAAAAAACTTTAAATTCAAAATTAATTATATTCCCATTTAAAAATACCATTTTTAAAATTTAATTATTATTTCCTTCCCTTATAATATCTTTTAAAAATGTAAAATCGAATTTTGTATATATTTCATTATCATTTTAGTCCATTTCTATTATTCCTTCCCTTCCTAATTAAATAATGCATTTCCTTTTAATTTAATAATCACATAAAACACGATAAGCTTCAATAGAAAAATCTATTTATGATAAATTACAGTCATATTTTTCTACATTACTGTATATTTCTTGGCTTAAATTCGAACTAACTTCCAACTCTATATCAAATAAATTTACACACATCTTCTATATTCGGGAAACTAGCCCATTTATCTAATTTAAGTCATTGATGTAAAATTAATAGCTAAATTAACCATTCTAATATATAATAAATCCGTTACTTTTTTTTACTATATGGGTTATATCTTTAAAAAATATACACTCCAAAACTATTTCCTATATTTTTTCTTTTTCTTAATCACTTTTTTATAAATTTTCTTTATAATTATTTTATTATTCTTCGAATTTCCCTTTTTTTTTATCTATATTATTCCATAAACTACTGCAAGTATCCGTTTAAATTAATAAATGGCTTTAAAAACAGTAAATATTCACTTCTATGAATGATTTAGTCGATTTATCTAATATTAATTATGCTTAGATTACTGAAAAGTTAATAAAAGGAAGGTTTTATCCAAATTTAAAGCCATTTTTATAATAAAAATAATCTAATCCTTTATAAAATTCGCTTATGAGTAAATTTCTTTCCTCACTTTTGATTATTTATATGGTTTTTTATTCATTTATGTGACCTTATTTTTTAAAATAAGTTATTTGAATATCGTTTTCTTTCTCAAATATGGGAAGAAATGATACAAATTGTTAATATTTAATTGATTCTGTATTTGGGTATTGATAATATATGCTTTAAAATTATATTCCTGTTGACATTATTTATAATATACGTTTTTCTGTTGAAAAAAATTAAGGTTTAGTTATAAAATGCTTACTGTATATATAATTTTCATTCATTTTTTTTTATATAATAAAAATATTTTGTATATTTTTGAAAAGGCTTTTTTTATCTTTTTTTTTTTTTTTTTTTAATAAAAAAAAAAAATTAAATTAAATAAACCTTAACACAATTATTATTTAAGAGATATTTTTATATATTGTATTTTGTTTATAATTTAATATATATTTTAAAGCTTTTATTTTTTATTTGTATAATATATATACCTATTAAATTATTAAAATAGTTTGTATTTTTTTTTTATTTATAAGATAAAGAAATCAAAATTATATTTATAAATTAAATTATTATAATTAAAGAATCATTTATAGAAAATATTATCATAAATTATTTATTATAGTTTAATTTATAATAAAATTATTTAATTAAAAATAAAATTAAATTTTTATGGATTAATTTTTAATATTAAATTTTTATATAAAAAAATTTTTATTTATTTCGTTCAAAAATTTATTTTTATATATATATTTATATTTATTATATATAAAATTAATATAAATTAATAGATAATTATATAATGTTATTTAATATTACTTTATAATCTAATATATAATTTTTTTTTAATTTTAAATAATATTTTTATAAATATTTAATAAAAAAGATTAATATTAAATAAAAGTTTAATATTTTATTAGATTTAAAATATTTCTTACGTATCTTTATTTATAAAAATATTTAATTTTATATAAATAATTATTAGTTATGAATTATATAAAAATTTAATTATTTTTAATATTTATATAAATATTTTTTTTTTAAAAATAAAATAATTTAATATATAAATAAATTTTACTATTATATACATAAACTTTGAATTTGAAAATTAAAATTTAAATAATATTATATATATATGTATATATATATATATAAATATCTATATAAAAAACTAATTATATATATATATTAAAAAATTTAAATTTAGAATCTTTTTTTAAAAAAATATATAATTAAAAAATTAAATAATAATAAGTAAATAATATTTATATATAAATTATAAAGAAAAGTTTTATAGTTATAAAAGTAATATATAAATGAGTAAACTAAGTCAATTATAATAAAGTGGCCCCATAAAAGGTTTTTAAGAATCTCAACCACTATATTAACAATAACATAATACAACAAACAGCTAACATATTAACATAAAGGAAGAGGATATCGACGAAGAAGATATAAATGATTAAAATTTAAATTAAAAATTCGGAAAATTAGGTTCAAAATTATTGAGATGTTATAAATCTTTATTACTAGGATAAGATGTAAAAATATATAAGTATTAATAAATATATTAAATATAAACATAAATGTGATTTATAAAATAAAATACATTAAAAAAATGAATATACATAAATAAACGTATATATATATAAATAAATTTATTTTAAATAAAAGCAAAAAATAAAAAGAATATGATAAATAAATTAAAACATAATATATAAATAAATAAAAAAATAAAAATATAAAGTAAATATAATTGTGATGTTATTAAATATATTATATTTATATATAAATATATATTTATATATAATATATGTATATAAATATATATTAATATATTAATATATTAATATAAATAATAAAGGAGAAATTTTATTAACTTTCTGAAAAAATAATTCAAAATTTTATAAACAATGGTTAAAGTTAAGTTCTTAATTATTTAAATGAATAAGATTTTATTTAGGAGATTTAGTAATATAATTTCCAAATCCAGATTATTTAAAAAAAGGTGAAGAAAAACAAAATAAAAAAATTATTGACAAAAGCAATGCTTTAGAAGATTTTAAAAAAGCCTTTAGTAAATAAAATAATAAATAATAATATAAATTATAATATTTTTATAAAAAAAAAAAATAGATATTGTAGATGCAAATATACGTTCTGAAGTGGCTGAAAATAAAATATTTCAAATGGCTTTTGAATAAACATTTAGGAGACTAAAAGACAAAAAACAATAAAAAACAATAATTTAACCATAAAAGTAACTCCGATAAAATTCTTAATTTCAAATAAAACCTACAATTGAAAATGACTAACAACCTCCAATTTAGAGTAGCTTATAAATACTAAAAAACCTCCTTTTTAAAAGCAAATAAGAAACTCAAAAAGAACTACTTAACAAACAAAAAAAAGAATACGAAATTTACATCGAAAATTTGATACCAAATGCCAACGATTAAAACGAAGAATAAATTCAACAATAAATAAAATAAACATAAAACTAATAATAATAATTAAAACCCGGATAAACAATAATAAACAGTACAATATTTACTAACGCCTTAAAATTCTCATAAAATAGACAATAATCAATCCGTGCTTCTATATAGATTTAATAATCATAAATAAAACAGCAATAAACTAACTTATAATTATAAATAGAAGAAGAAGAAACCCTAAGAATGAAAAAAATATTCAGATTCGGTGATTATTTTCAAAAAAACAAGTACGAATAATGGGAAAGAACTGGAAATAACACCTAAGACTACTTAACTTTTATCCGCCATGCAGTCTGGATTCGATTAATGAAATAGGGCTTTGCTCTTCGAAATTTTGTAAGTAAGGATGGAGCGAGTATATATACAGTATGCTATGCAGATGACTCGAATTTGAAAGTGATTGCAGAAAAAGAAAAACTACCAAAGGCTTTAAATTTAGAATTCACTGATGTTATTTCTTTAGAACCTGTAGACAAAACTTTAAGGCCTTTAAGGCTTAATACTAGACTTAGAACTAAATTAAAAGAAGATCAGGATGATAACAATTAAGATAATGAAGATGATGATGAAGAGGAAGAGGTTTTATCGGATACTTTTAAATATTTGAGGCCCAAAATACTATAGCTTTTGAAATAAATTAATTACAAGAAAATTGCAAGAGAAACAAATACGTCTAAATTAAATATTGAAATTTTAGATGAAGATGCCACTGAAATTGTCCTAGATTCGAATTTAAGTGACCATTAATGGAATCTTTATTATGAATATTTATGTTATGTGAATTAGAAAATTTAAGAATATAGGAATGAATATAATTTTATTAATAATGATATAAAGGCTACATAAATTAATGAAATTATTGAATTCAAAAAAAATATTCATCCTATTTAAAATATTATTAAAATTTTTATTGGAATAAAGAATCTTTAAAATAATAATATTAATAGTTAAAGTCAATAGGGAATAGTTAATAATAATCAAAATACTAGTTAAAAACTAAATGATTAAAGTTATTTTATTTTTAAATATAAATAAAATATTTTTTTTTATTTTTTTTTAGATTAAAGTATTAGTGATAATTTTAATTCAACTTAATTAAAATCTAATTATTAATTTAATTTTTAAGGCGTTAGTAATTATGTTGTATAATATGATAATTTAGAATATGTTGATAGGTAAATAATATATTTATTTCTATTTATTAATTTAAAAATAAAATATATAATTAGAGTAAAAAAGATATTCCAATAACTTTAAAAGTAAATAATTTTAATTTTAGTGTTTTATTTTTTTATATAAAGAGATAAAGAATAACTGCTGAAATAAAAAGGAATAATAAAATAATTAAGTAAAACTAGTAAATTTTAATTCTTAACTGAATTAAATAAAAGAGGTTTATAAAGAGTTAAAAGGCTTGTAAATTAATATATAAATAATCCTGATTAATTTCAAATAGATTATGAAAATGTAAAATAAAAATAAGATTCAATTTTATAAATATAAAAAGTTAAATCAATTAGTAATAAGACATGAAGAAAAATATTAAATAATAAAGAAATTATTAAGGATAAAACCTTAAAAAGATGTACATATAAAAATAATTAAATTACGATTAAAACAATTGTTAGCTTATAAATACAAATAATTATTTCAAAATGCTTTAGATATAATAAACTATCCTAATAAAGATCACATGCACCTAAAAAATATTTGGGACTATATGCAATTATAACCTTAAAATCCTTTCGTAGAATACTTTATACCATCTTCTAATATTTCAAGCAAAAAAAAAATGAAACTTAATTAATTATGGGAAAATTATGAAGTAACAACAAGTGGAAGAGAATCAGTTTTTAGTAATATGGAAAGATTAAAACTGATAAATTTATGCATTTAGAAAGTTGTTAATTTAAACTATTTAATGAATAAGGAATACATAAACAAATTTTTCTTTTTAAATGATAGATATGAGCTTTATGGAAAAACTTATAATCATTTATTTAAAAATTTAAATTATGATTATAAAAAAAAGCTAATTTAAAATAAAAACTATGGTTGTTCGAAAAGTATTGCTTTATAAAATGTAAACGATAAGATATAATTATAATAATAAGTAAATTTATAATTAGAAATATATAAACTAAAAAATATTAAATAAAGAAAGAAAATAAAAATTAAGAACTTTTATAATAATTAAATGAAAAAATGTTCATTTAAAAAAAACTTAAAAATCTCAGTTTTAAATGGGCTTTTAGAATTTCAGAACCATGGTTAATTTTTATTATTAAAAAATACATAAATTTTATCTAAAAAAAAGGTATATTCCTTCAGTTGAAATAAGAAATTATTATGGCGAAAAAATAGCCCTTTATTTTTCATTTTTAGGTTTTTATACAAAAAGTTTATTATAAATAGGAATAGTAGGATTAATTGTTTTTGTAATACAGTAACAATTTTTTTTTTAAATTAAAAAAAAATTGTTCTTAAAAAGGATATTATAAGAAGAAGGAACTTTAATATATTTTCTAACAGGAATGTTCTTTGGAGTATATAAAATAGTTTGGGGATCTAGAGTTTTATATTTGTGGAGACGTGAAGAAAACATATTCGCATCAATATTTGGATAAATGGAATAAAAGAAAGATTCATCAGATAAAAAAGTAATTAATAAAATAATATTAATGATTATTATAAAATGAAAATGCTAATTATAAAATAATAAAAAGGTCGATGATGAAGAAAGACCAGGATTCGATGGTGTATATACAAGATCTTTAATAAATGATAATCTAAATAGTGTTTAATATCCAAAAGTAAAAAAATAAATAAATTTTAAATAAAAAATAATAATAAAAGATTAAAAGAATAATAAAAATGTTTTTTACATTTACAGCTTGTTTTTTAATACTTGGATTATATTTCGCTGCTATTATAGGTCTTTTTTTTTTACAAGATATTTAGATTATTCAGTAATATAATATAGATAGATATAAATATTTATTTTACTTTAAAAAAAAAAAAAAGACTGATTTTCCAAAATGGTCTTAAGGATTTTAATTATAAGTAACAATTCCAGCAATATTAAATGTTATAATTTACGAAATATTTAATAATATATTATATGATAATCTATCAACACTACTTACAAATTTTGAAAATCATAAAAGCTTTGAAGAATATGAAACTAATTATATAATAAAGAAGTTCATGTTTAGTTTTATTTCATTGACAGGACCTATAGTATATTTTTATACAAACATAAATAAAAAAAATATTTAAATTATATTTATAATTATATATATTTATATTTACTTTTATTAATAAGTTTCTTATTTCATTTTTAAATTAATAAATTGGATTATAATGCTCTTTTTCTGGAAATTGTTTTAAACATGCATAATATTATTTTGGTACAATATTTTTTATTTAGTTTCTATTGAACATGTAATTTTTTTTTTATTATTTGATTTTAAATATAATATTTTAAATTAAAAATTAAATAAGAAAAGAAATATTATAACCTATAATTGAAAATCAAATTAATATTTATAAAAAGAAAAAATAAGAAATAAAAAAATCAGTTGACAAAAAATCTAACACTTATAAAAAAAATGATTAATATAAAAATCTCAAATCAATTTTCTTGTCAAAAATTAAAAATAGCGTTTAAAAGAATTAATCTTATGAATTAGAAAATAATTCTTAAGATAAAAATTATGAAATTTAAACAGATTCTGAAAATGGAGAACATTTTGAAGATGATTATTATGATTCTTTAGATTAAAACAAAAAAAAATTATAGACGAGGAATTGAATTAAAATCCTTATTCTAGAATAAATTAATACATAGAATATGAATCTTTAAAGGAACCATATTCTGTATCTGCTGATATATATGGAACCGTAAATGAATATTAAGGTATTAATATATATATTTACATTTACATGTTTACTTTTAAATTTATATATTTATATTTATCATTAAAAAAATAAACTAAAGAAATTTGTATTTAATTTTCTTTATTGTCTATTTTTGGAATCGTATTCCCTATAGGATTTATAATTGCATTTATTTGGAATGTAATGGAATTACAAACTGATAAAAGTAAACTTATGAAATATAAATAAAGACCAATTCCTTTAAAAGAATTCTCTTTAGGTAGTTGGATGAATGTATTAGAACTTTGTTCTTATCTTTCTATTATGTCAAATAGTGGCTTAATTACTTATTTATCTTTAGTTATTGGTATTTTATTTTTAAAAAAAAATTATTTTTATTTATATTTTTAGAGGATGATCTTCCACTTTCAGCTTTATCAACTTTTCTAATTTTAATTATATTTAATTTTGTTATTAAATTTTTTTAAACTGCTGGTATTTTTTATTAATTTATAAGTTTTTTTTTTTTAATATCTTTTTTTTTTTTTTAACTTAAGTTTTTGGTGATATTCCATATAGAATTCAAAACCTTTTGAAAAGATAATAATATTTAAAAAAATGTACAGTAGAGGTTTTTAAGAAATAAACTGATAAATAAGTAATTGAAGAAATCGAAAAATTCGAAGATAATAATGATATTTTATAAAATATTTAATAAATATAAATGAGAGAGAATATGAATAGTAGTTAATTAAGAGAAGAGGAAGAAATAGAAGCTTTATTAAACAAAATAAAAGCCAGAAATAATAAAAAAAATTATTCTCCAAGACCAATATATAAAGTTTATGGCAGTATTTTATAACCTATAGAATAATCAGAATTACATGATAGTTTTGATTAAGTAATTTTATTTTTATATTTATCTATAATTTATATTTTATTTAAGTCTTTTGAATTACTTTCAAGTGATGATGAAATTATGGTAAATTAAGATTAATAAAGAATATTTAACTATGACTAAATTAATATTTTTAATATTTGGATGAATTCTAAATATGTTGCTCATTAAGTAAATAAGAAATATTTATTTGTTTTTTTAAATTAAAATTAAAAAGGGGTTCATTTCAAGACCTTTAGTTATAAAATAAATGTATTTATAATAAATATAAGAATTAAATAATGTAAAAAATAAAATAAAAAAAATCATAAAAAATATAAAAAATAAAAAGGAAAATATTAATTTACTTTAGTACTATTATAAATACTACAAAAAATTAGAAAACAATAAATTAATAAATAAAAAAATAAATAAATATAAAAGAAAATTCATATATCTAAAAGTAGATGGAAGTAAAAAATATAAAAATCTAATAACAATCAATATATATATATATATATAAAATAACAAAAATAATAGTATGGGCCGATTAATTCAGAATGGTCGAGCATTATTATCCAACCGAAAAACTTTTACAAATATTAATAAGAAGCAAGAAATCTAATTAATAAAACAATATAAAAAACAAACTTTTTGAAAATATAGATGTGGATATCCGTTTAATAAATGAACGAGAAATAAATAAATATTTTATCCCAAGAGGTCCCACATTTTAATATTCCGAGAATTTCTTAAAATCTTAATTTTATAATAAATTTTTATCATCATTTGAATCTGTGAGTTTTAAAAAAAGTCTCATATAGAAATAAATATGCGAATACACTTATTCTCCTTATATTCAAGATAAATTAAATTGTGAAAGACATATATGGGAAATAACAAAAACACGGTTAATATAAGATATTTATATGCCTCGACATTTAAATTAACAAATCGAATTAATATTCGAAACTCACTCTGGAAGATGGACTATAAAAAAAAAGGGAATTTCGTAATATATAATTATACAAGATATATAAATGAAAGAAAATAATGCACTTCCAGTTTATTTTTTTAGCAAAACTTAAGATTCTATTTAATAATTAATTAAAATTTAAGAAGAAGATAATTTAAAAAACGATGACGAAAATTTAAAAAACGAAGAACAAAATTAAAAAATTGAAGATGAAAATTTAAAAAGTGAGTTTTTTATAGGAAAATTAAATTTAGCCTACTGTATATAAGACAATCCGATTTTCGAATTATCTAATATATAAAAAGGAAGAATAGTAAAAATTTATAATGAACAATACATAATTACACTAAAAGATAATATTCAAAAAAGAAAATAAACATAAGAATATTATCAAGAGGAACAATTATTAGGATTTTTTGAATTATGGATAAATAATTTAGAAAATTATAAAAACAAATACGAACTATATCATTCAAATATAAATCCTTAAAATTTCATTTAAACATAATCATCTAATTTACATTATAAAGTAAAAGAAATAAAAAAATAAAAATATAAAAAAACAAATATTTTGATATATATAAAATATTAAAAATAAATAAAATTAAAATCAATATATTAATATAATTAATTTATATATATATATATATATATATTTATAAATTTAAATGAAAAATATTTCTATATCCTATTAATATATTTATATTTATATATTTATAAATTTAAATGAATTTTTATTTCTATATCCTATTGTTTTATTTATATTTTTTTTAAAAAAAAAATTAAATTAAACAATAATCAGCTTTAATATATAATTCTTTTAATTTTATTGATTCATATTTATATTTTTATTAAAAAAATATATATTCAATAAAATATATATATATATATATATATATATATATATATATATATATATATATATTTTTTAATTTTAAATCTTTCATTTATATTTATTTATTATTTATATTTATAGTTAATAGAATTTTAAAATCTAATAACTGGTAATTAAAAATAATTTTTCTTAAGGGATATCTAAGATTATGAATTTTGTTTTATTTCTCCTGAAGTATTAGATATATATTTTTAAACAATTAAATCTCCTAATAAGCTTTAAAATAATTAATTTAATATATTTAAAGCTGACTTATACTCTTTATGTATGTTAATTCTTTATATGTGTACTCTTGGTGATTTATAAGAAGATATATAAAAAATAAAAAACGCTTTTTTAGACGATAGGCGAATAAAAGAGTCCTAAATAATTAATTCTATACAAGAAAAAATCTAGTATTCTAAAAAAAATGATTCTATTAAAACAAACTAATTAAACAAGGAAAATAATTTCCTAAACTCAACCCGAATGTTAACTTCTTAAATAAATTTAACTAAAAAATGCGATAATTAATTTAATTTTTCTGAAAAAATACAAATAAAATACGATACTAGTTAAAGTGAAGGCTAAAATTTCATTTAAATTATAAATATTTACTTAGAATATTCTTCTAATATAATATCAAAATAATATCCTGTTATATATAATATTATTAAACGAATAATTCCTGTTTACGATCCTTAATAGAGAATAGATTCTTATTAAATAATGCAAATAATTAAAAATAATGATAAAATTTATAGCTTAGAAAAACCTAAGGATATTTTATTATTCTAAAAATACATAAAAAAATAAGAAAATGATTAGTCTAATAATTTAAACTTAACCCATTAAGTCCTTAAAAAAATATAAACTTACAATAATTTATAAATGTACTCTGAAAACATTTAATTTTGCCAAAAAAATCCTTTTGAGCCTTTTAATATGCTTTCCTTTTAGAAATTTATGCTCTAAATAAGGTATAATAACGAGTAAATTATAGCTTTACAAAGTTGTTGTTTATTTGAGAAAGCCTAAAATTTATTAAACTTCTAAATAGAGTTTATATAAGAATATTTACCATAAAAAAACAACTAAAATTACTATTTAGAAAAAGAAGAATAATATGAAATAATAATTGAGGAATTTAAAATAAATTATTTATAAACTTTAAATTAATTCCTATAAATAGACTCTTTTTAATAAAATAATCTCATAGAAGTAGCTAAATATGTCGAAAATATCATTAATAAAATGAATGTTTTTATTAAGGATATAAGTCTTAATAATTTAACATAAAATTTTCAATTTAGACTTCTTTTTTATAAAAATGGGCTTTTATTATTACAAATATATAATGATTTATATGAAATTAAATAGTTTGAAATACTTTCAGGAGTTCTATTTGATTTATTAGAATAGGAAAAAATACTTTAAGAAATTTTTGTTAATTATTTTTTAAAATAATTACTTTTAATTTAAAGTGAGCACTTAACAATATAAATGAAATATAAAGATGCATTAGATATTCTCGAAAAAAATGATAATTATTATTAAATAAATATTAAAGAGTTAATTAATTGGGATTAATTGTGTGTTTTTGAATTAAAAAATTGGATTATATTTAATATTTTAGTTATAGATCTAACGATAATAAGCGATTCTTAGAAAAGCTTTGAACTTTATTATAATTTACTTAAAAAATAAATAGGGTGTTTATTAGAAAATGTTAATTTTTTGTTAATATTTTATATTGATTTAATAGAATTTATATTCTATTTTCTAGAATTAGATTCATATAAATTTAATATAATAGAAAAAATTATTACTAATATATATTAAGTATGTAATTCGTCATATAATATTCCTATTTATAATAATAATAATAAAAATAATAATAATTTAAGTAAATAAAATAGTAGAAATTTTATATAATATTAAAGAAATATTAAAACGTTTACAGATTTTAAAAATATTAATTATTTTAATCCTTATTTAGATTTTATTATGGGAAAAGTAAATTTAAAATATTTTTTTTTTTTATATATATATATATATATATATATATAAATATATATATGTATTTATATTTATTATTAAAAAATAGTGTTTTCTTTAATTAGAAAGCATTAGAGATAGATAAATTGCTAAAATTTATTTACAAAAAGCATACTAAAATATTATATTTAAATTAGATATAGTATAATTTAATAATTAACAATAAATAGATTAAAATTTTACAATTAATTAATATATGTAAGAAGATTAAGATTAATAATATATTAAAAAAAATAGAATTTAAAGATTTAATAATTAAAAAACATAATCTTTCTCTTTTCAATGTAATTAAAGGAAATTTTTTGTAAATCAAGAAAGTATAGATTATTCTAATAAATATTAAATGGAAAATATTTATTATTGCTATATATTCCATGAAAGATTGACTGAAAACTATATATATAGTTTAAGTTAAACAGACGACGATATATTAGAAGCTAATTTATGCATTAAATATATGAAATAAATATTTGATATGAAGCCTTATAGATATTTTAATTAATATTTTTTAAATAATAAAAAGTAAAAATATAAATTAACATTTATTATATTATTATTTTTCTTAAAAAAAAAAAAAAAGATAAAAATATGATTTAAATGGAAAAAAAGATTATATTCATTAATATTTAATAACTATGAAAATGTTGCAAATTATATATTCATTTAAATGTAAAAAATACATAAAATAATATATAATTTTATATAAAAAAATAAAAAACATATTCATATAATTAAAATAAAAAAAGTAACCATAAAATGCATTAGATGAGTTAAAAATAATA